CTTTCCAATCTAAAAAAAATGCGCATAGGCTTCAACTGAATTTCCAAAGACAATTTTAAAATCCAGGATTCATAATATTTTGTTCGTGAAGCAATTCATTTTAAAGACGTCTCTCCAAAAGAAATGTTTCATCGTTCCACAATATAATCTTCCTAAGATGCTCATAAAAATATTTTCAGTATATTCTCCGTATTTTTTGTGTCCCTATTCTTGGGACTGACGTTTCCATTAATCGATTGGCAGCACATAAAGACACTCTCAGAAGCCACAGAACCAAGACAAAACAATGACGAAATATGTTGCGGTGGTGGCGTTGTCTGTTGTAGTTGTGGTTGTGGTTGTAGTTTTAGAAGGGGGAAGGGAGACTTTGCTGGCGTAGTTGAGTGGCGATTAAGCAAATCTGAGCCAGAGAATGTCCCCGTGTTGGAGATTACAGGCAGCCTCACTCAGCCCCTCACTGTCAACATTAATTTCCGTAACATACGCCCTGGGCCCGCGAGCCTGGTATTTGAGGTAAAATATCGTCCTGGGACGTCCACGAGAAAAAGCATTCAGTTTCCTCGCCAGATGCACCTCGCATCATCTTCGTCTAAACAAGTACCACTTCCGGTTAAAGGGAGGTCACTAGCGCGCCCGGTTTCGCCATTTTGTTGGATAATTCGATTGTCGGCCGCGACAAAAGCAGCGGGGAAATTTATGCAGAGTCTTTTCCCGGAGCCTGTCTTGTAGGGGTCCTTTCTGGACGTGAAGCCAGTTCCCGAAGACAACCATAGCCAATTACACGCGCGCCCAACACCGGCCCGCCCCCACACATGTCGCCTGGCCGCGAGTGCACGTGCATGGGGGAAGGGCGAGCTCCTTACTCACGGACAGGCCGGTGGAAATATGGCGGGCTGAAACAAAGGGCAGGCAGGAAACTTTGTAACCGCGGCAATTAACTGCTTAGGATGCGTTGCGCGCTGGTCAAACAGAAAAGATGTTGATGAAGTGTGTGTTTTCCGAGAGGGAGTGATTCAGACGTCGGACGAGTCGAAGCTCTGACGGGGTTGTGCTGTGTGCCGTTTGCGGGTTGGACCAAAGCCTGCTTGTGGTCGGGAGGGAGTCGGCCTGTGAGCCTTAATGACGACTAGCTTGTTTCGAGCTGGTCCAGATTTTTGCTGTGCTTTAATTACGTGGCCGGTGTCTCGCGTGACAGAACGAGAGGCCGCGGGAACTGTCATCGGCGGGCGACCGCCATTGTTGGGTGTCACGTGATCTAGCAGACGTGGTCCATATGACAGTGTCTGGTGGGAAGCTGGTGTTGCTCGTCTTTCAGACCTGCTAAAATAAGAAGAAAAAATGCAAAGAAGTAAAGAATCGAAACGAAATAAAAACAACAATAAAAACATGAAAAAAAGCGAAATCGTTTGGTTTTATTTATTTATTTGTTTATGTATTTACTTATTTATTTATTTATTTATTTATTTATTTATTTATTTATTTATTTATTTATTTATTTATTTATCCATTTATTCATTTATTCATTTATTTATTCATTTAATTTTATCATACTAAATGTCTGTTCATCTCTTTCTTTTGCGCGGAAGGATATTTAGGGAGAGAGGGGTTATGAGATAAACGGCTTGTTAAACTCGGACCACTTCTAAGATGGTTGTTCGCATGTCGTGTCTTGTGGGCCGAATAGAGTCCTGAAGAGTTAGGGTTATGGTTAGAGGGTTAAGGGAGTGGGAGAGTTAAGAAGTTAATTGAGAGAATCAAGTCTACGTCAAGGTCAGGGTTAAGATAGGTAGTGCTAGGGTGGGGGTTTATGTGTTCTGTACTCATAGCTTTAACTCCTGACAGAGAAGCCAACTTCTTTCTTTCAGAATATCCCTCGATACATTGTTTTGTGGGGAATTAGTTTTGGACCCCCCCCCCAAAAAAAAAAAAAAAAAAAAAAAAAAGAAAGAAAAGAAAATGAAGCCCTGATTGTGATAAAACTTTCAGTATGTGCTTTTGAATATTGCCCAGTTTTGTATTGTTTGTTTTGTGTGTTTGTATGTTTGTTTGTTTGTTTGTTCTATTGCTTTTTGTTTGATTGTTTGGTTGCATGTTTGCTTGCTTGCTTGTTTGTTTGGTTGCTTGCTTGATTTTTTCTTTGTTTGTTTTCAATCGTATAGCACCGACCTATATAAGTCCGTCTTTGATATCACACGCGGTTGAGAACCTTAAGACAATCAGGGAACATAAACAATCCGTACGACCTTCAGCAGAGAGCTCAGCTCCCCTCTGGCGATGAGCTACACATACGCCACAACTTCTTCGGTCCAGGGATACCAAACCCTCTCCTTTTTGACCAGCTTACATTATTTTGTGTCTTACAGCTTTCCGGGTTATATTGTGCTTAGAAGTGCAAACCTGAGGGCGAGAAAGTAAACAGACTACAGTACGAATAGCACAAAGATTGCGAATTGGCGCTCATATGAACTCATGCAGTTGCGAGCGCCGTAAAATCTCTACTAAAACTTTTTAAAAAGGTCGCGAAGATTACTTGCTTGTGTCTATGTGTCTACCTTTGTAGACTATTTGTTTGATGCACATGTCATTGCGAGTATTTGGAGTTTGCATTAAAGCGACCGATCCGATACTAGCACGGTGTTAAACTGATGCAAAAACAGAGATATGCGTCCTGTATAATTCTTCGTCTGGATATAAATTTTAAAACAAACGTATTTATGCTACACATTGTAAACATGTGTGGCCCTGGGTGGCTTTTCCTCTAATTGTTGTCAGTTCTAACCAAACACCCTTTGGGAAGACGTACTTTTTTGTCTATTCTCACCCAACTCCACAGTTTCATTCAAGGCAAAAAATGCAGTGTTCAAAACCCAAGGGTATGCCTTTCATTCGAGCTTTTCTTCACCAACTTCAGAGCCTGTAGCTTTCTCG